TGGAATCAGAAGGCCACCACTCATTCATTCATTTAACAAATAAGTATTGAGCACCTAACTGGTGACAGGTATTGGGGATACAGTATGAACAAAACAGATGGGGTGCCTGCTTTTATGGAGCTTCCACTGTAGAGGGGGAACAGAAAGCAGAAAATGCACAAACAGGTTCAGTGCTGTGAAGAAACTAAACCCAAGCAGTGTGCATGTGGAGGTGGCCCTTTGGCTGGCTGGATGGGGAAGGCCTCTGTGAAGACCTGACATTTAAGGGTAAGAAGCGGGCGTGTGAAGTGCTGAGAAAAGGAGCCTTCCAGAAGGAGGGGGGAAGCAGCAGACATACAGGTTCTGCAGTGGGAAGGGACTTGGCCTCCTGGGGGAACAGCGAGGAAGCTGGACTAGCTGAAGCACCCTGTGTGGAGAGCAGGGGAAGAGCATGGGCTGTGGGGGGAAGATGGGCAGGGGCCCAGTCATGTACAACCTCGTAGGCCAGGCTACACATTTGGATTTTAATCTGAAGCAAATCAGTTTTAAGGAAGAGTGATGAGATCATACTTTCTTTTTTTAAAAAATGATTGATCCCTCTGGCTGTATAGTGAACAATGGGTTGGAGAGGAGCAGAGTGGAAGCAAGGAAACCGATCCTAGACCAGGGGACTGATAATGGCAGCTCAGACTAGGCTGGTGGTTTTGGAAATTGAGAGTTGATCAGTAGGAGATGCATTTTAGAAATAGAATCTATAGAACTTGCTGATGGGTAGAATGTGGAGCAGGAGAAAGGGCACACTCGCTCTGGGTTTCTCACTTTCCTAACTGGATGGAGAGGTACCGTTTAGTATGTCACCTGGGGAAGGTGATGGGAAGGATAAGGTTGAAGGAGCCTTTTAAAAAGTTTGAGATAGCTATTAGATGTACAATTGGAGGTGTCAATGGGCTGTTGGAAATGTGAATCTAGAGTTTAGGGCCGCAGATAACCAACCACCTTTTCCAAGCCAGGGATGTGATGGCCAGTGAGGGCCAAGGACAGGTGAGGATGAGGAGAGGGAGTGTGGATCCTCAGAAAGCAATGCTGGGGCTGGTCGATTCTGGGGTAGAGAGCCTGAAAGGTAGACACTAAGGCTGACTGAGGCCCCTGGCTCACCTCCCAGCTCACACCCACTCGCTAGTATCCTTCAGTTTCTACTGGTCCAGGACGCACCTGTCTTTGCCTTTGGGACTGGGTCCTTCCTGGCTCCAGAAGTCTTTCTCACTCGCACGCAGGCTGGCTTTTCCAGTTGGGTGGGAATTGGGAATAGGTTTGGGACCAGCCCTGTTTCCCTCATCAGATGCATCTTCGCTTAGGCATCCAGTGACTCAGTTTCCCTGGTCCCAGATTGAGTTCCTCGCCATCCTTCACCCTTCGAGCAGGGACTCGAAATCTGCATATGTAAATGATGATTAGAAATATTTACGAGTTGAGTCAGCGGCTCCACTACAAATAGAACCTAGGCGTCTTAACTCAGAAACCTGGGTTCTCCTTCGTCCAGCGGACGCGGCGTCCACCCGGCGGCCCAGACCCTTTCCGGGGTTTCGGAGCAGTAACGAGGTTCAGTTCCTCCGTGGCCCCCGCGCGCTTCCCAAGCCCCGGCGGAGGTGGGGAGAGAGCGGAGCCGGGCCCCAGCCGGGGAGGGGCTTCGGGGGGGCGGGGCCTCGGAGGGGCGGGGCTCCACCGAGTTCCGGAGTCGAGTCGCTGCCTGGGCCGAAGCGGAGATGCAGCCGCCGCCCCGAAAAGTGAGCTCGGCCTGGGAATGGGGACTCCTGGAGGGCCGAGGGAGCGGTAGGGGCTGAGAGGACACCGGGCCTGCGGTGGGGGGCGAGGAGGAGGAAGGGTCAGGGCCCGAACCAGAAGCGACCGAGGAAATAGCCCAGCCCCTCCCCGGCCCCGCCCCCTCCCCGCTCCCTGCGCGCAGTTTTTTCGGGTCCGCGCGCCAAGGGGGCTTCATCTTCTCACCCGCGCAGGTGAAGCCGGCCCAGGAGGTGAAGCTCCGTTTCCTGGAGCAGCTGAACATACTCCAGACCCGGCAGCAGAGAGAGGCGGAGCTGCTGGAAGACATCAGGTAGCCCCCGACCTCCTTCACATGCCCCCGCTCGCACCGTCTCGCGCCCCGCCTCTCCCCCAAGTAATCCATGATATAGTTGTTTTGATATAAAACATGCAAAGTATTTTGCAGCATCTAGCCCAGAGGAAGAGCTCAATAAATGTTAATGCTCAAAAGTCCAGTAATTCTAACCTGTGTCTGCCTCCTTCCACCCCATTCCCACCCAGCCAATGAAGTCATCCCAGGGGTCTGTGGAGGAGCAGGAGGAAGCGGAGGAGCCTGTGTACGAGGAGCCAGTGTACGAGGAAGTGGGGGCCTTCCCTGAGCTGACCAAGGATACCTCCTCCTCCTCCTCCACCACGCAGGAGCAGACAGCCAAGCAAGAGACCCCCGTGGCCAGCCAGAAGTCCTCTGACCAACCCCTTCTTTCCAAGACAGGCATCCTAGGCTGGGAGGAGAGGCCACCGGAGCCCCCTCCAGGCCCCCCTTCAAAGAGCAGCCCCCATGGGTCTCTGGAGGAGCAGCTGCTGCAGGAACTCAACAGCCTCATACTGAGGAAGGGAGAAGCCACCACAGGCCCAGGCAGCCCCTCCCAGCCGCCCAGCCCCAAACCCCCAAGCCCCAGTGACCTTCCGACACAGACAGCTGGCTTCCCCGCACAACCTCCCTGCACTTGCAGCCCACACTCCAGCCAGCCCCTCACATGACCCCAGGACCAGCCATCTGAGGGGGTAGGTAACCAAAGGGCACAAGCTCTAACCAGGGCAGACGCTGCTGGGAGCTTCCTCTGCCCTAGCTGGAAAGACTCCGGGATCCAGGGCGCTGCTGTGGAAGGAGCACAGACTGTGGGCTCAGCAGGCTGTGTCCTGCCCAGCCAGTGGCAGGTCACGCCCCTCTGGGGGCCTCCACTCACTTATCTGTACCACCGTGTAACTGAAGTAAGGAGAGAAGTGATCGTCAAACTGTTTCTCAGAGCTGTGAGCCAGCCCCATGTATTTTCCTTCAACAAGGGCAACTCCTGCTTTAGAAACTTGATCTGTAGGGGTTCTGTGAGAGATTTGGGGTTTGATAAGAATGGTTTTACTGCATTAAAAAAAAGATTTGGAAGCCAGAGATCTGAATGATTTCCAAGTCATTCTTATCCCACCTCCTACATTTGGGAACTACATGGGAGCCCTGGTTGGGAGGTTGATTGGGGTGAGGAGCTGGGGCGAAGAGGGGCCCAAAAGGGTGGGTCATTGTTAATAAACCTTGGAATCAGAAGGCCACCACTCATTCATTCATTTAACAAATAAGTATTGAGCACCTAACTGGTGACAGGTATTGGGGATACAGTATGAACAAAACAGATGGGGTGCCTGCTTTTATGGAGCTTCCACTGTAGAGGGGGAACAGAAAGCAGAAAATGCACAAACAGGTTCAGTGCTGTGAAGAAACTAAACCCAAGCAGTGTGCATGTGGAGGTGGCCCTTTGGCTGGCTGGATGGGGAAGGCCTCTGTGAAGACCTGACATTTAAGGGTAAGAAGCGGGCGTGTGAAGTGCTGAGAAAAGGAGCCTTCCAGAAGGAGGGGGGAAGCAGCAGACATACAGGTTCTGCAGTGGGAAGGGACTTGGCCTCCTGGGGGAACAGCGAGGAAGCTGGACTAGCTGAAGCACCCTGTGTGGAGAGCAGGGGAAGAGCATGGGCTGTGGGGGGAAGATGGGCAGGGGCCCAGTCATGTACAACCTCGTAGGCCAGGCTACACATTTGGATTTTAATCTGAAGCAAATCAGTTTTAAGGAAGAGTGATGAGATCATACTTTCTTTTTTTAAAAAATGATTGATCCCTCTGGCTGTATAGTGAACAATGGGTTGGAGAGGAGCAGAGTGGAAGCAAGGAAACCGATCCTAGACCAGGGGACTGATAATGGCAGCTCAGACTAGGCTGGTGGTTTTGGAAATTGAGAGTTGATCAGTAGGAGATGCATTTTAGAAATAGAATCTATAGAACTTGCTGATGGGTAGAATGTGGAGCAGGAGAAAGGGCACACTCGCTCTGGGTTTCTCACTTTCCTAACTGGATGGAGAGGTACCGTTTAGTATGTCACCTGGGGAAGGTGATGGGAAGGATAAGGTTGAAGGAGCCTTTTAAAAAGTTTGAGATAGCTATTAGATGTACAATTGGAGGTGTCAATGGGCTGTTGGAAATGTGAATCTAGAGTTTAGGGCCGCAGATAACCAACCACCTTTTCCAAGCCAGGGATGTGATGGCCAGTGAGGGCCAAGGACAGGTGAGGATGAGGAGAGGGAGTGTGGATCCTCAGAAAGCAATGCTGGGGCTGGTCGATTCTGGGGTAGAGAGCCTGAAAGGTAGACACTAAGGCTGACTGAGGCCCCTGGCTCACCTCCCAGCTCACACCCACTCGCTAGTATCCTTCAGTTTCTACTGGTCCAGGACGCACCTGTCTTTGCCTCTGGGACTGGGTCCTTCCTGGCTCCAGAAGTCTTTCTCACTCGCACGCAGGCTGGCTTTTCCAGTTGGGTGGGAATTGGGAATAGGTTTGGGACCAGCCCTGTTTCCCTCATCAGATGCATCTTCGCTTAGGCATCCAGTGACTCAGTTTCCCTGGTCCCAGATTGAGTTCCTCGCCATCCTTCACCCTTCGAGCAGGGACTCGAAATCTGCATATGTAAATGATGATTAGAAATATTTACGAGTTGAGTCAGCGGCTCCACTACAAATAGAACCTAGGCGTCTTAACTCAGAAACCTGGGTTCTCCTTCGTCCAGCGGACGCGGCGTCCACCCGGCGGCCCAGACCCTTTCCGGGGTTTCGGAGCAGTAACGAGGTTCAGTTCCTCCGTGGCCCCCGCGCGCTTCCCAAGCCCCGGCGGAGGTGGGGAGAGAGCGGAGCCGGGCCCCAGCCGGGGAGGGGCTTCGGGGGGGCGGGGCCTCGGAGGGGCGGGGCTCCACCGAGTTCCGGAGTCGAGTCGCTGCCTGGGCCGAAGCGGAGATGCAGCCGCCGCCCCGAAAAGTGAGCTCGGCCTGGGAATGGGGACTCCTGGAGGGCCGAGGGAGCGGTAGGGGCTGAGAGGACACCGGGCCTGCGGTGGGGGGCGAGGAGGAGGAAGGGTCAGGGCCCGAACCAGAAGCGACCGAGGAAATAGCCCAGCCCCTCCCCGGCCCCGCCCCCTCCCCGCTCCCTGCGCGCAGTTTTTTCGGGTCCGCGCGCCAAGGGGGCTTCATCTTCTCACCCGCGCAGGTGAAGCCGGCCCAGGAGGTGAAGCTCCGTTTCCTGGAGCAGCTGAACATACTCCAGACCCGGCAGCAGAGAGAGGCGGAGCTGCTGGAAGACATCAGGTAGCCCCCGACCTCCTTCACATGCCCCCGCTCGCACCGTCTCGCGCCCCGCCTCTCCCCCAGCATGAAACGGGCGGGGCGGGGCGGGGCGGGGGGCACGGGTGAGAGTGCTCGGCCCTCACCCTAGGCCTGCCTCTCCTTCGCCGGAGAAGAATGATCCTCGCTCCCACCCCGGCACACATACACAGGGACACCCCCCCCTCAAGCCCCTTGACCCTCCACCATTCCCTCCACCCCTGTAATCAAGTTTAGGGCAGAATACCCCCTCGCTCTTCCACACCTGCTGGAAGGCTGGAGGGCAGTGTACCCAGGCCCCATCAGTCCTGTCCTCTGAGCCCACAGAGGGCTCCCGGGTGTGGGGAGGATTCTGCTGGGGCTGAGCAGCGAGGTGAGACTGTCCTGTGCTGCGGCCGCCCGAGGTGACCTCAGGGACTCTCCCTCCAGTCTTATTCCTTCCTATTACAGTCACACGCTAGGCCTGGCTCCCCTCTTCCTCCTGCCCAAGCTGAAGGGAGGATTGAGGGTGGGGAAACAGGACCAAAAGTAACAGCACCTCACCCTGCTAATTTCCACAGATCCTACAGCAAGCAGAGGGCAGCCATTGAACGGGAGTATGGGCAGGTATGGGACTCCTTACTCTGGACATTCTCTTTTGTTCCAGCTTCCTTTACACCACCAGCAAGGTCCCTCCACACATATCCCTATTCTGGTCAAGAGCAAAGGCCTAGATTCCGGCAGCTGTGTGTCAAAACTCTGCTGTGCTACTTATTATTAGCTGTGTGACCTTGGACAAGTTACTTAGCTTTTCTTGGCCTCAGTTTCTTTCTCTGTAACATGGGAATAATAATCGCACCTTCATGTAGGGTTGTTGTGAGGGTGGAATAAGTTAATGCATACAAAGCATTTAACAAAGTGAGTGGCACTAATATGCAACCAGTGGATGGCATTATTATATTCTGATCCCATATTCTCCCTGTTGGGGAGAGTCTATGAAGGGGAACTGGATCTGTGATGACTTTCCCACCAGGCACTCCAGAAATTGGCTGGGCCATTCCTGAAGAGAGAAGGGCACCGGAGTGGGGAGATAGACAGCAGGTGGGTCCCAGGAGTGGGGCAAGGCCAAGAAGGGATGAGGAGCTATGGAGGATCGAAGGACTCTATGGAGGCAAAGGCCCAGTGAGGGGGGAGGGCACGTGAGCTGCAGGTAGAGCTGACACAGCAGCAGGAGGCAAGCTGACCCAGCAAGGACACTGTGGGTGGGAGCAGAGGACATGAGTGATCCTTGTGGCTGAGCTAATGGGCTAATCGATTGATGGGCTCCCAGACAAGGGGGATGGGAAAGCACTCTTGTCTCCCATGGTGTGTGGGGGGGCGCAGGGTGGCCTCGTGAAGCTTTGGAGAGCTCCCCTCCTCAACATAAACCTTCTCTGGGAGAGGCAGGATGGTGTTTGGTGCCTGGCGCTGCCTGCTGGATGCCACCGTGGCTGGGGGCCAAGCCCGGCTCCAGGCGTCTGACCGGTACCGTGACCTGGCAGGGGGCACAGGGCGGAGTGCCAAGGAGCAGATGCTTAGAAAGGTACGGCTCAGTGGATGGGTGAAGGAAGGGCTGGCTCGGGGCTGGAGGCGGTCTGGGTCAGGACTGTGTGTGTCTGTGTCCTTAGGGAGCAGAGAGCCTCCAGAGGGCCCAGGCTGATGTGCTGCAGTCTGTCCGGGAGCTGAGCCGAAGTCGGAAGCTGTATGGGCAGCGGGAACGTGTGTGGGCCTTGGCACAGGAGAAGGCGGCTGATGTCCAAGCCAGGTGGAGTCACAGGGAGTTAGGAAGCCTGGCGGGTGGGGAGTGGGGGAGTGGGGCCAGGGCACCACAGCTAGGACCGACCTCAACTCCTGTCCCTTGCCTGCACAGGCTGAACCGAAGTGACCATGGGCTGTTCCACACTCGGACCAGTCTCCAGAAACTCAGCACCAAGGTTCGGGGGTGTGGGCAGGAGTAGGGGCAGGGAAGAGGTGGGTAGAGTAGTTTAGTGGTTTGGAAGCCAGGTGTATAAGTCTCAGAGACTGGGGTGAATTCAGATGTCCCCATTTCCTCACTGTGTGACCTTGGTTAACTTGATTTCTCTGAGCCTCATTTTATTCATCCATAAAATGGAAATAGTACCTTTCTTTTTCATTCCTTTTATATGCATTTATTGAAGGCATGTGTATTAGGCACTGCTCTGAACACTGGGGATACAGTGGAGAACACTACTAATGGAGTGCCTGCCCTCACAGCCTAGTGAGGGGAGGCAGTAAATAAACAAATACATAACCAGATTAAATTAAAATAAACCCAGGTGCTATGATAAAGGGTTAACAGGGGGCGTAATTTAGAGGGAAAGCCTCTCTGAACAGGTGGCCTGAGTGCCAGAAGGAGCCAGCCATGCAGAGATGTAGGTGAAGGACCATTCCAGGAAGAGGGGATGGTGAGTGCAGAGGCTCCGGGTGGGAGTAAGTTTGTAGGCTTGAGCTGAGGGAAGGCTAGTGTGGCTGGAGCATTGTGAGCAAGGGACAAGCAAGCACTGTGAAAAGAGATCAGAGAGATGGCAGGGGCCAGCTCATGCTGGACCTGGTAGAGAAAAGTAAGCAAAGTTGGGATTTTAAATGTATGGGATGCCGCTAGAGGATTTTGAGCAGGAGTTGTGAGTATGTCAAAAGTTTAATATAGTGCCAGGCAGGTAGTAAGCACTTAATAATGTGAGAATCCATTCTGGATCTGGGTTGGCTTTGGAAGGACTCCAGGGTCCATTGCGCCTGTTGACACCTGTCTTCCCCTCCTAGCTGTCCGTCCAATCGGTCCAGTATTCCCAACAGCTGAGAGCAGCCCGAAATGAGTACCTGCTCAACTTGGTGGCCACCAATGCCCACCTTGACCACTACTACCAGGAGGAACTGCCAGCCCTTCTCAAGGCCAGTCCCAGACCAGATGCCCCTGCCTCTTAGTGGGAATGAAAGAGAGGGCTTCTCCCTGCTTCCCACCACCATCAGGCTGGGTGGTACTAAGGACCCAGCCTGTTTAGAGTGGATAGAAGAGACATACTTGGGTTCTGCTTCTGCTGCTTGCTGGCTGCATGACCTTGTGCAGGACCCTCTAAACCCCCAGCTTCCTCCTCAGGGAAAACTGCTCTGCCTACTTTATAAGACCAGTGGGGTTCCAGGGAGAGAAGGGATGTGACAATGCTTTTTGAACTGTTAAGTGCTGTGCACACGAGGGCGTGTAATTAGAAACAATACTGACATCTTATTCCTTCCCTCTGTCCCGTCCCTTATGCCTATCACCCACCTAAGCCTGATCAGAGAGCCTGCTTTGCAGTAGAGGAGGGGGGAATGGTGGTGTCAGTTTCTCGGGGTTCTCTCCAGGCCCTGGTCAGCGAGCTGTTGGAACACTTGAGGGACCCCCTGACCTTACTGAGCCTCACTGAGCTGGAAGCTGCAGAGATGGCCTTGCAGCATGCCCACCGGGGGGGCCAGGCAACCTCCCAGGTGAGAGCTGTGCCCTGTAGGAGCTCCCCAGAGATCCTCTTTACCCTTCTCTCCAGTCCAGACCACCTCTTCATAGCTGCCCCTTATCTCCTCACTTTGTCCTCTTTCTTCCAAGAGGGGCTGGGGACAGGACTGGACAGAGAGCCAGTGAGTGAGTGACTGACTTTGACTTTTTCCAATCCCCAGGTAAGCTGGGAGCAGGATCTGAAGCTCTTTCTTCAGGGGCCTGGAGCGTTTTCCCCCACACCACCTCAGCAGTTTCAGCCAGCAGGGACTGACCAGGTGAGACCTCTTTTGCTGGAACCAGGCCAAATGTAAAGGGGATTGTGGTTTAAGCCTTCTCTCCATTATCCTTGTCCTGATAGTAACTTAGCAACTGTTAAACCTTAAAGAAGGGGTTTCTGAACTCCACTTCACCTCCCTTCCACCAGGACACAAATTAGCATGCTTCCTTCCACCTTTCTGTCCCTTCACTCTGCTGTCCTCTTCATTCTTCCTCTGTCCCTCACACCAGAGCCCTTTCTGGGTCTCTCTGTGTCTGTGTGTCTACATGAATGCACACCTGTGTTGGTGGACATATATGTGTCCCTGTGCCTCTTTGTCCCCCTCCCTCATAGCCAGGACAGAGAGAAGAAAAAAGGAGGGATCTGAAGGGAAGTGTTGTAGAGAAGGAGCAGCCTCAGGTGCCCCTCACAGCATCCCCGTTCATTCAGGTGTGTGCCCTGGAGCTGGAAGGGGATGCAGGAGGCGTCACTGGGGAGAGTGGCCTGGAGAAAGAGGTTCAGCGCTGGACGAGTCGAGCTGCCCGAGACTACAAGATCCAGAACCATGGGCATCGGGTGAGGGTGGGGGGCGCAGGTTGTGGGTGGGCAAGAACAGCTGAGTGGCGGGGATACTGGGGTCACTGGGGATGTCATGGGGCTGCAAGCAGGAGGGGAGGGGAAATACTTTAAGCCAATAGTATGCCACAGTAGTTAAAGCACAGCTTTTGAAGCTAGACCTACCTGGGTTCACATCCTGCTCTGTTAATTCTGGATTCTATAACCCTGAGTAAGGGAGTGACTTAATCTCTCTGGACCTCAGTTTCCTCATCATTAAAATAGGGCTAATAATAGCTCCCACCTCATAGGGAGGAGTAAATAACATAATCAATGTGAAGCAAATAGCGAAATGCCAGGTCCATAGTAAGCTGTGCCCCACAGTGTGTCCATCCACCCTGTCCTCTGCCTTCCCAACCAGGTGCTGCAGCGGCTGGAGCAGAGGCGGCAGCAGGCTCCAGAGCGGGAGGTTCCAGGCATAGAACAGCGGCTGCAGGAAGTGAGGGAAAGCGTAAGGCGGGCACAGGTGAGGCACAGGCCTGGGGGGTAGGCCCCGCGTGGAGATCCCACCTCCTCAGGCAACATCCTCTACCACTCCTTTGTCTGGCGGTGGGCAGGGACAGGCGGGCATGCTGAGGGAGGCTCCACTCACCTCCCAAAGGCAGGCCCAGCTTGATCCCTCCTTGCCCTGCCAGGTGAGCCAGGTGAAGGGGGCAGCCCGGTTGGCCCTGCTGCAGGGGGCTGGCCTGGATGTGCAACACTGGCTGAAGCCAGCCATGACACAGGCCCAGGACGAGGTGGAGCAGGAGCGACGGCTCAGTGAGGCCCGGCTGTCCCAGAGGGACCTCTCTCCCACGGTGAGCTGCTTCCGCTCCCTACCCATACACCCCCAGCAGGGTCAAACCCCTATAAAATGGGAATCACAGTAGGACCTAACTCAAAGGGCTAAATGAAATCACTGAAGTGTTAAGTCTTAAGTATAATAGCAGAGAGAGTCCTCAACAAACTTTTATTATGAGTATAGGTTGGTGGTTATGAACTAAGGCGCTGAGGGCAGCCTGTAAGCAGGTTGAGGACCAGTCACTCCACTTACTAGCTGTGTGATCTTGGAAAGTGACTTAACTTTTCTGAGCCTCAGTTTCCTCATAGGCGTAATGAAGTTATGCAAACTAACACTGAGTTATGAAGATTAAACAAGATGATGTATGCAAGATGCTTAGCATTGTGCCTGGCACATAGTAAGCACTCGATACTGTAACTCTGCCATTATCATTAGTCTTACCCTGCTCTGTGGTGCTTTTGCTTGTGATAAAGGTGAACCATGGGTGGCACCACCTTGGAGAAGGATTTGCTGTGTTCTTTAGGGGTAGGATGGGGAAGTGGAAGATGCAGTGGGCACTTGAGAGTGGAACCCCCCAGTGGTGTCTGTTCTCTGCCCCCTCCAGGCTGAGGATGCTGAGCTCTCTGACTTCGAGGAATGTGAGGAGACAGGCGAGCTCTTTGAGGAGCCTGCCCCTCCAGCCCTGGCCACCAGGCCCCTCCCCTGTCCTGCCCATGTGGTGTTTGGCTATCAGGTGTGAATGGGGATGGGGACCTCAGGCAGGCAGGGGTGGGGGACAGTCAAGTCCTGAATCCTTCCTTGTGGGGCCCAGGCAGGGCGTGAGGATGAGCTGACCATCACAGAGGGCGAGTGGCTGGAGGTCATAGAGGAGGGAGATGCTGATGAATGGGTCAAGGTGAGTATGGTCCTTGGGCTCTGACCTTGCAGGGGGGCCAGTGGGAGGGGCTTCTCTGCAAGGACCCAGCCAGGCAAAGCTAAAAGCCTGAGTGAAAGAGGGCCCGGGCTATGGACTGCTGAGGCATGTCTTCTGTCTGTTCATATTTCTGGGTGAGCAGGCTCGGAACCAACACGGTGCAGTAGGCTTTGTCCCTGAGCAGTATCTCAACTTCCCGGACCTCTCCTTCCCCAAGAGTGGCCACGACAGTGATAATCCCTCTGGGACAGAACCCACAGGTCAGAAAGGGAAGTTCTAGGTCAGGGGACCCTGGGTCTGGAAAAGAACTACTGAGTGGTTGTGGCCCTGGGGTGTCATGGTCCTGGGGCACCACTGCGCACCTCCTCCCCTCACCATCTCTCCTGGACTTCTGCAGCATTCCTAGCCCGTGCCCTGTACAGCTACATGGGACAGAGTGCAGAGGAGCTGAGCTTCCCCGAGGGGGCGCTCATCCGCCTGCTCCCCCGGGCCCAGGATGGAGTGGATGACGGCTTCTGGAGGGGAGAATTTGGGGGCCATGTTGGGGTTTTCCCCTCCCTACTGGTGGAGGAGCTGCTTGGCCCCCCAGGGCCACCTGAACTCTCAGACCCTGAAGAGGTGAGGCTTCCTTCTCCCTCGGTCCCCGGGCATCCCTGGGTCGAGCTGCCCACTCTAGTGAGGCCCCGTTTTCATCTTAATGCCACCTCCCACCTCCAGGTTTGCGTCCTATAGCGGCTTGGGCTTCCTCTTCTCCTTTGGCTGGGCAGAGAAAAGGGAAACCATAGCAGTCTTCCTAAGAGATTGGCAGTCCTCTAGTGCCAGACAGATCTGAGTTCTGATTCCTATTGTATTACCATGGGCAGTGATTTAACCTCTCAGCTTATTTCTCCACGTGTAAATCAGGGATAATACCTGCTTCAGCAAGCAAACTATCGTGATCAGAGATAATGGAGGTAAAGCCCTTAGGAGATGCTTTAATATACAGTACATCTTGTTATGGTGGGCAGAGCCTAGGGTGTCAGGAGACCTGAATTCTAGCCATGACTCTGTCACTAACTGGCTCTGATTTTGATAGCTGGCTTAACCTGAGTCCCACCTCTAACATAGGCATAAAAAAAATCCCTAATTCAAGGAGTGGTGGTGAGGAATGAATGAATGAGTGCCTGTGAAGTGACAGCAGATGCCTGGGTCATAGTGAGTATCCATACATATTAGCTGTTGATATGTGTATCAGCTACAGCTCCCACCTGGATACAAGCCTTTGGCCATTCTCTGTGTTGGCAAGTGATGGGACAGGAATTGAAGATGAGGTGAGAGGAAAAGCTGGTGAAACCTTCCCACATGCCAGGAATCACTCTGTGTACCTTCCATCCCCAGGTGCTGCCATCTCCTTCTCCCCCCAGCTTCTCTCCTCCTGCTCCCACCTCCGCTTTGGATGGACCCCCTGCACCTGTCCTGCCTGTGGGTGAGTAGCGAGAATTGGGATCCCTGGGAGGGGAATGAGATGGGAAGGATGAGGAAGTTCAGGACTCCTATGTTACCCTCAGCTCCTCTGATGCCCTCAGGAGCCTCCTCTATCAGCATAATGAAGCGTGATGGTAAGAAGATCTTGGGCTTTGGGGCCAGCTCCCCTGTTCAAACTCCACTGTGACTTCCTGGTGTGTGGTTTGGGGTGGGATATTTAACCTGTCTGGGCCTTTATAGAGTGAGGAGAAAGGGCCCTACCCTACCCCATGGGTATTATGCAAGTTAATAAGCCATCTAGAGGGCCCAGCATTGGGCCTGGCACATAGCAAGCATGTGAGGAGTAGCTGTTTTCTCATTATTAGTATTTTAGAAATCAGCCAGCTTCTCTCACGGTGTTTTCCTCGCATGCACCTCCTGCCTTTCAGTATGCGAAGCAGCTGTAATTCAGGTCTTGAATCCTGCAGACACCTTGGTTTGTGTCATCATTTTCCTTCTTGGAGTGTCCACCTTTTCTGAAACCTTCTGGTTCTTCCCCTTTCTTCACAGAGCCTCCCTCCCTGATCCTGAAGACTGCTGTGAGCATTTTCTGTACCCCCCTCCCCTCTACAGCATCCGTAATTCACTGAATGACTTAGGAACCACTCATTCATTGTGTTTGTTTTATTCACTGCCAGCTCTTGTGACAGTGGCACACTGTAAATATTTGTTGAATTAATGAATAGTCACTAATCTGGGCCATAGATTTCATCCATCCATTCATCCTCAACACTTATTGGGCACCTGCTGTATAATCAGCCCTGCTCGAGGTATCAGAGAAGGGGAGGTGTGATTCACAGCACCCGCATCCATCCCAGTGGTTGTCAGGAACTCAATAGTGAAAATGCCAACAAAGTCTGGAGGCTGACTTGTAGTTCTTGCTTCCAGACCAAGATCTGGAGTGCCCTGGACCCCTGGACATGATGGCACCTCGACTCAGGCCGGTAAGGGCCACTTCCTTGGAGGAGACTGGAGGGGGTTGGCCACTCCAGCTTGTCCTGTTTTGTCTGCGGGGCTGAGGGAATGGACAGATACTCCCAAGGGAGACTTCTAGAGCGCTGACTGTGTGTTCCCTACAGATGCGTCCACCACCTCCTCCACCAGCTAAGGCCCCGGATCCTGGCCACCCGGATCCTCTCACCTGACGCCAGGGGATCACTGCCCCCCAGTGGTGCTGCTGCCCATAACTCCACGCTGTCAGAGACTACCCCTTCAATGACCTGGAGTGACACAGCCAAAAGCTGGAATCTCCCCCATTACCGCTCTCACTTCCCAGGAGTAGAAACTTCCCCTCTCCCCATTTCTGGGACTGGAACTTCCTCTTTTCCCCATCACCCACTTGCCATCTCTAGGCCTGAAGTATCCCCTTTTCTTCTGCCACCACCCCATCTCTAGGGTGGCTAAATATCCTGAAATCTCTGGGGTTGGAGCCCATTCAGAAAAGTCTCGAGTGGCTCCAACCCATTTGTGTCTCCACCCTGACCTACCCCACTCCAGAGGCCGGGTCACGGGTTGGGGGCTGGGACAGGGGCGGTCCTGTTAGAAGGAGCTGAAGCCGGTATGCGAAGCAGCTGTAATCGTCTGTGCGGATTTATTGACAGTGAATAAAGGACACGAAGCCCAAGCCAGGGCCTGGGCCTCTTGTGCCAGAAGGGCAGGGGGTGCCTAAGGTGCTATTGCTTTAGGGGCCCGCCCAAGGGCAGGGCCTGCTCCCAGCTGCCGCACTAGCATACGGAGTGAGGTGACAGGGAAGGCAGAGGCCCGGTGGCAGGCAGGGGAAGGGAAAGAGACTGAGGGGCACTTCTCCTGAGGTCTCCCAGCTTGGGACCGTGGGACTTCAGGTGGAAGTAGGGCTGGTCCCTCAGCTGGGGGGTCGTGCTGTCCAGCAGAGAGGATGGCCGTCAAGCCCACCCCTCCCCCACCAGCTGGTAGTCTGTCAGCGCAATGAAGAAGGAGGCTTGGAGGAGAGGAAGGGTAACAGGGTTGCCTCCTGTTCAAGCGGTGTGCCAGCTTTTCCCCAGGGGATACAGGACGTTGCCTATCCCCTGGAGCGCATGCCCACTCCCCACCACCAAACCAAGGTATCTGTAGCAAAGGCTGAGTCCGGGGGTCCAGGGAGCCGTGGGCTTAGGTAGTTTAAGTAGGGGGTGGGGGATAGATTCTCTGACTTGGGGCCCAGGCAGACTCACCTCACACACCCCCTGCTCCCCGTGGTGTGGACACCTGAGAGAGAGGAGGGGTCCACAGTGGGAGAACAGGACATAAGTCATATCAGTGCCCCCCAACTCCAGATAGAGGGCAGTAACTGCTGAGCCCACAAGCCCACTGCGGCCCTGGCCATGTCTTCATACCTGGTGATCTGAGGTGGCCGACTTGTCCTGTTTTGTCTGCGGGGCTGAGGGAATGGACAGATACTCCCAAGGGAGACTTCTAGAGCGCTGACTGTGTGTTCCCTACAGATGCGTCCACCACCTCCTCCACCAGCTAAGGCCCCGGATCCTGGCCACCCGGATCCTCTCACCTGACGCCAGGGGATCACTGCCCCCCAGTGGTGCTGCTGCCCATAACTCCACGCTGTCAGAGACTACCCCTTCAATGACCTGGAGTGACACAGCCAAAAGCTGGAATCTCCCCCATTACCGCTCTCACTTCCCAGGAGTAGAAACTTCCCCTCTCCCCATTTCTGGGACTGGAACTTCCTCTTTTCCCCATCACCCACTTGCCATCTCTAGGCCTGAAGTATCCCCTTTTCTTCTGCCACCACCCCATCTCTAGGGTGGCTAAATATCCTGAAATCTCTGGGGTTGGAGCCCATTCAGAAAAGTCTCGAGTGGCTCCAACCCATTTGTGTCTCCACCCTGACCTACCCCACTCCAGAGGCCGGGTCACGGGTTGGGGGCTGGGACAGGGGCGGTCCTGTTAGAAGGAGCTGAAGCCGGTATGCGAAGCAGCTGTAATCGTCTGTGCGGATTTATTGACAGTGAATAAAGGACACGAAGCCCAAGCCAGGGCCTGGGCCTCTTGTGCCAGAAGGGCAGGGGGTGCCTAAGGTGCTATTGCTTTAGGGGCCCGCCCAAGGGCAGGGCCTGCTCCCAGCTGCCGCACTAGCATACGGAGTGAGGTGACAGGGAAGGCAGAGGCCCGGTGGCAGGCAGGGGAAGGGAAAGAGACTGAGGGGCACTTCTCCTGAGGTCTCCCAGCTTGGGACCGTGGGACTTCAGGTGGAAGTAGGGCTGGTCCCTCAGCTGGGGGGTCGTGCTGTCCAGCAGAGAGGATGGCCGTCAAGCCCACCCCTCCCCCACCAGCTGGTAGTCTGTCAGCGCAATGAAGAAGGAGGCTTGGAGGAGAGGAAGGGTAACAGGGTTGCCTCCTGTTCAAGCGGTGTGCCAGCTTTTCCCCAGGGGATACAGGACGTTGCCTATCCCCTGGAGCGCATGCCCACTCCCCACCACCAAACCAAGGTATCTGTAGCAAAGGCTGAGTCCGGGGGTCCAGGGAGCCGTGGGCTTAGGTAGTTTAAGTAGGGGGTGGGGGATAGATTCTCTGACTTGGGGCCCAGGCAGACTCACCTCACACACCCCCTGCTCCCCGTGGTGTGGACACCTGAGAGAGAGGAGGGGTCCACAGTGGGAGAACAGGACATAAGTCATATCAGTGCCCCCCAACTCCAGATAGAGGGCAGTAACTGCTGAGCCCACAAGCCCACTGCGGCCCTGGCCATGTCTTCATACCTGGTGATCTGAGGTGGCCGGTTTGCTTGGCTGTCCATTTGCTTCTTGACTGGCCAGCCCTGGGCTTGGACCCCTCCCTCCGGCCCCCTGAGTTGGCTCTTCAGAGGCTCCAGGGTTCCCCTCAAGTGCACAAGGGGCCAGGCTGCTGTCCCTCAGTCTTCTGTTCTGCACTGGAGGACTAGCGAGGGCCTGGGGCTGTGGCCTCTCGGTGGGCAGGCTCTCCATGACAGGAATCCCTGCCCTGGGCTGTCTTCCCCCAGACCCCTGACTGCCCCCTAGGTCCTGCCCCCCACCAGACCCCCAGCTCCTGTCCGTGGGAGAGCCATCGCGATGCTCATGCAGCCCATAGCGCTTCTCAATGTGTGTCACCCGGAACCTGGAAGAAGTAACAGTGGGGCTTAGGACCACACTCAGAGATGGCCCTTTCCTCCCACCAGTGACATCTTGGGTTTGATGGCCACTTCCCTCTGGCTTAGGGCAGGGGACTCCTCAGCTTTTAGGTACATTGTGCAGCCTGACTCCTACTGTAGGAGAAACAAGTCCAGGAGGAAAGACCTGGGACCCATCTTTGGAGTCAGGGGCCTGATCATCGGGGCCCCCACCTCAACATCCCTTGCCCTGGGGGCCTCTCTCCACACCTGCCCACAGAGAACACAGTGGTCTCCCCAGGCCGGGGGCGGCCCTTTCCTTCCTTGGAGCGTCCCTGACGAACAAGTGGGGGCCTCTTGTTGCGGCTGCAGTGTATGCAGGGTGCTGCCGAGCCCAGGTGCACTGTGTGATGATGGGAGGGAGCTCCGTCCTGTAGGCTGGAGGCGGCATCCACACTAGACAATCAGAAACACCTGGACAGCTGTACTGTCCCTTCTCCTTCACTGTCCCCCAGCATCTCCTTCAAGGCCTCAGCATTGGCTGAGGGAAGAAGGAAAACGGGGTCAGTGGAGGTGGAGGTCAGGGCAAGAGAAAGTTGAGGAGTGGGGGGGCAAGGGGGCCGGCCTGTACCCACCTTCATTTTGGATGATGCAGCGAACAATCCTCTCTACGGTGTCCTCATTCATGTCGTCGTCCTCAGCTGAAGGATGAAAATGGTTGGCAGGGAAGCAGGAAATGAGTCAGCTTTTGGGGGACAACACTACCTGGGAACTCCTGTGGCTTACTGCTCAAGACATAGCCCCTCGCCTGTCTGTGCATCGTGCGGAACAGTGGCATTTCAGGGGCCACGGCAGAAAAGCTGGGAGGGTCAATGGAAGCCGCAAACTACCAACAGTGGGCCCTTCCCACCCATACCGCCTCTCTAGCCTTGCCTCCAGGGTGGAGTCACCCCACTTGCTGACTCCAGAAAGCACAGGTAGGCCTCCCCAAGGCTCGGTCGCGATTTGGCCTGGGTCTCTTGGTCAGGAGGGCAGATGGGGAAGATGTGTGAAGAAGGGTGAGGGGGAGAGGTAACGGGGCCGGTTTTAGGCCCCCCACTCACGGGGCTGGAGCTGGGCATCGTCAGGCTCGGAGCCCCTGGACGTGCGGCAGCGGTAGCCCTTCTTCTTGAGCACGTGGCAGATCATGAAGCCTACCAGGCCCATGAGGAAGAAGACCAGCACAAGCAGGAAGAGCATGTACAGCCCATGCTGGGGCGGCTCCAGGTCAGGCTGTGGTTCCGACATGAGGCCCCGGGGGGCGAGCGCGGGCCAGGGCGCCTCCTGGGGCTAGGGGGCTGCAGCTGGGAATGGGAGGAGGGATAAGAACGCCGGCCTCGGGATCTGAAACCGGGAAGCCTCGGCGGTCCGGCCCCACCCCCTACCCAACCCGAGGAGCTGTCCGGGCCAGGGGTGCTGGTCCGGGCCAGGGGTGCCAGACGGCGGCTGCGCAAGCCCTCCTCCACCACCCTGGTCCCGCTCCCCTGCCTGGTACCCACAGCGTCTCCCTTTCCAGCTGGTCCGGCGTTTAAGTCCCTCCCAAGGACACTGCAGAGCGCGATGGGCCGGGATTCTCGGGCGGCCGGCGCAAGAATCGCGCCTGAGTCAGCGTCCGCACCTCCGTGCCGCCCTGAGCCAGGCCTTTGCAGCCCCCTCCCCAGCCTGTACTCCCGCGCTTCGTCCCCCCTTTCGGCTCCTCCTGTCCTGACCACCCGGCCCACCCGGTACCGGTGGTTTGGTTCTGGCTCCGGCTCCGGCTCGGGTTCCGGCTCCAGGGGCGTCCTAGTCCGGCTCAGGGCCCCCGACGCCCTCCCGGCGCTCATCCCTTGCTTCCTCCCCCTCCCGCTTGGCCGCCTCGCCGGCTCCCGGCTGCGGCTGCAGACACCGGTGCCGCGGCAGGCGAGGGGAGGGAAGGACGGACAGGGAAGACCGCCGGTGGGGAGCGGCGGCAGGCTCCGACAACGCCGGCCCCGGGAAGGGGAGGAGATGGGGGGCGCCGCGGCGGCCGCCCAGGGTTCCCGAACGCCTTGGCCCGTCGCCGGTCCGGGGCCGGGTGGGTGGGGGCGGAGCGCAGGTGTGTGGGGCGGGAACGAGAGCCCCGCGTTCTTGTGAGCGCAAGTGTGGCGCGCGCGTGACTGCGCCGGGCCCCCCCCGGGAGAGAGTGCGGTGCGGAGCCCGGGTCCGGGCGGGGAGAACGGGCAGTCAGGCGAGAGCGCTCTCCGCTGGTCTATCCTGTACGGCTGGCGCGGATCCTGCCCTCAGATGCCCCGGCCGAGTGCACAGCCGGAATACCCTTTCCAGCTGGTCCGGCGTTTAAGTCCCTCCCAAGGACACTGCAGAGCGCGATGGGCCGGGATTCTCGGGCGGCCGGCGCAAGAATCGCGCCTGAGTCAGCGTCCGCACCTCCGTGCCGCCCTGAGCCAGGCCTTTGCAGCCCCCTCCCCAGCCTGTACTCCCGCGCTTCGTCCCCCCTTTCGGCTCCTCCTGTCCTGACCACCCGGCCCACCCGGTACCGGTGGTTTGGTTCTGGCTCCGGCTCCGGCTCGGGTTCCGGCTCCAGGGGCGTCCTAGTCCGGCTCAGGGCCCCCGACGCCCTCCCGGCGCTCATCCCTTGCTTCCTCCCCCTCCCGCTTGGCCGCCTCGCCGGCTCCCGGCTGCGGCTGCAGACACCGGTGCCGCGGCAGGCGAGGGGAGGGAAGGACGGACAGGGAAGACCGCCGGTGGGGAGCGGCGGCAGGCTCCGACAACGCCGGCCCCGGGAAGGGGAGGAGATGGGGGGCGCCGCGGCGGCCGCCCAGGGTTCCCGAACGCCTTGGCCCGTCGCCGGTCCGGGGCCGGGTGGGTGGGGGCGGAGCGCAGGTGTGTGGGGCGGGAACGAGAGCCCCGCGTTCTTGTGAGCGCAAGTGTGGCGCGCGCGTGACTGCGCCGGGCCCCCCCGGGAGAGAGTGCGGTGCGGAGCCCGGGTCCGGGCGGGGAGAACGGGCAGTCAGGCGAGAGCGCTCTCCGCTGGTCTATCCTGTACGGCTGGCGCGGATCCTGCCCTCAGATGCCCCGGCCGAGTGCACAGCCGGAATCTTCCCGGCGGGCGGAGGGAAGCCGGCTTTCCGCGCCCGAGAGGCGCGGCGTGGCCGGTTCTCCGGAGCCTTCTAGAGCGGTGACCACGGCTTGCGACCCGTTTGGGGCAGGTGGCTGGACAGGATGGCTTGGCTTCCCGAGGATTTGACCCCCGCCCGAAAGGAAATGGCCCTTGCATCCTAGGACCGATGCAACGGGTCCTCTGTCCAAGCCCAGACGCTCGCGCCCCAGAAGCTGGAAAAGCCAAGGCTGCGGAGGGGAGGAACTCCGCAGGGGGCGTGGTCTAGAGGGCGGGGCCTGGGCCTCCAGGTTCCGCAGAAGCAGGCTGCGTGCTTACGCAGCACGCAGGGCTGGGGGTGGGGCAGGCGGCCGGGAGGGCGGTGGAGGCGAGGGCCCTGGTCCCGCCTGCACCATGGCCAAGACCGTGGCCTATTTCTACGACCCCGATGTGGGCAACTTTCACTACGGTGAGGAGCAAGGTTGTACGGGAGGGGTTTTGGGAGGCCGAGGTTTCGAGGCGGGGGCTACAACTTCAGGTCTGGGAACTGACGAACTCTCTCTCCCATCCCCAGGGGCTGGGCACCCTATGAAGCCCCATCGCTTGGCATTGACCCATAGTTTGGTCCTGCACTACGGGCTCTATAAGAAGATGATCGTGAGTCCCGCCGCCTCTGAGGGGGGGGGATTCAGAGTGGGGGCGAGCTGCGGCCCTAGGGATGGGTAGGCAGCACTGAATGCACCGAGTGGGACCCACTCCTGTGGTGCGGGGGGAGGCTGCGTGGGGAGAGCCAGGAGCGCCCTCTCCCCCACGTGCAGTGTTGGTGAGTGCTTCCGCTGACTTAACGGGATGCCTTTTCACCTTAGGCTGGCCACCCTTTGACCTCAGGTGGACAAACGCTAGGGTTAGGGTTGGGTGGTGCTGGTTTGAAGGCAGAAGGTGTTTTCCTCCTCAGTATTTTACCACGTGGGCAGTGTTGTGGCCTCAGGGAGAGGTGCTTGATCACTGTATCTGGATGTGAGGTTTCCCTCAGTTTCTACCCCTTGTTCTCTGCCACCTCTCTCCACCTCCAAGGAGCTAGAGCTCAGGGGAGGACTCTCCAGACCTGCGTGTAAATGTGTATGTGTGTGTGGAGAGTAGGGGATGTCCTGGGTATTTCCTTTTCAAGGTAGGATACCTCCACTTGATTCTACTTAATTGCAACCCACCCC